TTTTTTTAATTTTTATTTTTGTGTGAGTGTACCGTCAAATCAGATCTGACTGGTACAGGAGAAGATTGTCCCTCCTTTTCCTGGCAGAGCATCTGGTGGATTCGAACTGTGTGCCTCTGGGATTGTAGTTGCAGCTCCTTGCCACTAGGCCACCAGAGCTCCCCTATGATAGAAGATATTGTTCTCATTGGGTACCAATGAGTAAGTTCCAACTCACAACCCCTATGTGCAAAAGAATGAAACCCAGTGCCCCTTCCTCCATCCTTACAATCTCTGCTCTGCTTTTAGTAATGTCAATCCATATCCTTGAGGGTCTTCCTCTTTTTTTCATGGGCCCTGTGCTTTTCCAAGCATGAAAGTTCCTTTCTCCAGGAACTGGTAACATGTCCAAAGTATGTAAGATGAAATCTTACCATCCTATTTTCTTAGGAGTATTTTGGCTACACTTCTTCAAAGACATATTAGTGCATTCTTTTGTCAGTCCATGGTTTAGTCAATAGTCTTTGTTGTGGTGTCAGAAGCCTTGACAATTGGCTTTTTCTATCCATTGTGTTAGCCTGTGTTGGGGGCATAGTCTCCAGCTACCTTAATTGTAGACATATGGTCTTGCAAATCATCAACAGCTGTGGGATCAATGTAAGAGAGCACTTTCCACACTGTGAAGGATGGCGGTGTCAAATGGTAAGGAGACTATGGCACCGATGTGAAGAGAATATGGCAAGATGTAACCAGAAGAACCATGGAGATGGAGCCACAGTTAAAGGTTTTGCTTTTTGGATGGTTGAAGGAAAAGGTGACTTGAAACTGCTCTGAGGTAAAGTTTGCTGAATGATTGAGGAGCCCAAAGTTGCATTTGTGCTGCTGACCTGAACCTGGGCTTTCACTAATTGAGGAATTGTGTCTTGTTAATCTGGTTTGGGACTCCTGGTCTAAACCGGGACTTGTATCATATGCTATTCTTGCCTCCCCCACTTCTCAAACTATTTCCCTAATAAACCCTACAACTGTAAGTAAAGTTGGCGAGTGAAGTTGCAATGAATGTTGGATCTAATATTTGGTAGAAATAGGTGCAGGAGCATGGGGGGTGGCATGCCTGATAATGTAGCTATTTGTTTAATACTATGGATATTATTGATGGGGACAGTTCCCGTTTATGAAGCAGATAGAAGTCAGACTTGAAACTATCCATAGAAAACTCAAGCAAGAGCCCCATCTCACACCATACACAAAAACAACTCAAAGTGGATCAAGGACCTAGGAGTAAAAGCAAGGACTAGAAAATTCATCAGAGAAAAGCCTGGAAGAACTCTAGAAGTCCTAATTCACAACATGAACAGCCTCCCAAGCATCCTGTGAAACCTACAACCAGGACAGCATAAAATAGATTAATGGGATCTTGTAAGAATCAAATCCCTAAGCACATTCAAAAACTTTTCCAACAGGATAAAAAGAAAAGCCACAGTCTGGGAAAAATTATTTGGTAATGGCATGTCTCATAAGGGACTTACATCCAGAATTTATAGAATACTCCAACACCTCAACCAGATAAAGGTAAACAACCCAGTTGCAAAATGGGCACAGGATATGAACAGACACTTTACCAAAGAAGACATTCAGATGGTGAACAAGAACATGAAGAAATGTTAAAAATTCCTAGCTCTAAGATGCAAATCAAAACTACTATGAAATATCATCTCACCCCAGTAACAATAGCAAAATTCAACAGACTAGCAAACAACAAATGCTGGTGAGGTTGTGGAGAAATTGGAACCCTTTTTCACTGATGGTGGGAGTGTAAAATGGTGCAACCACTCTAAAAGGCAATATGGCGCTTTCCAAAAAAGTGGAAATAGAAATACCATTTGACTCTTTGGCTGGGATTTGTGGTGACGCCGACATGGGCAAATGTCAAGGTCTTTGTACCACCAGGAAGCTGCACAGCCACTGGCATAACCAGAAGTGGCATGATAAATAGTACCAAAAAAAGCCCATTTAGGCACAGCTTTGAAGGTCAAACCCTTTGGAGGCACATCTAATGCAAAGGGGATTCTGTTGGAAAAAGTGGGTGTTGAGGCCTAGCAGCCAAATTCTACCATTAGAAAGTATGTCAGAAGCACA